GAAGAAATAAACCTGTCATCACAAATTCAGAAAAGTTCAGGAATTACCATTCTTTTATCTATATTCCAAATACGACTCACAGATAGAGTGCAATTTAAAGTGCATTTATGGCAAACAATCGGGCCTATGAGATACTTTTTTTTTTTTAATGGAATGAAGCTTACATAAGTGTATATATTTGTCAATATTCATTGAACTGTCCTCTTAAATGGGTAAATTAAATGTAAATTTTAAAATTAAAAATTAGACCTAAAAGTTATACTGTATTTAAGTAGCCTCTCCCCACCACCCCAAAATCATAATTTAGAATTGCCTTCACAGAAATAATAAATTACAAAGCATATAATTGTAACATACATATAGTTATGTATGTTACAACACCAAATCCGTTATAAAGCATATTATATATTCAAAGTTTCTTCCACTCAATGTCTTCTATCCTTCAATGATTCCACTTTAAAATATACATCCTACTTGTAATTAGAAGGCATCACAATTGAATTTTTTTTTAAATATATATTTTATTGATTTTTTTACAGAGAGGAAGGGAGATAGATAGAGAGCTAGAAACGCCGATGAGAGAGAAACATCGACCAGCTGCCTCCTGCACACCCCCTACCGGGGATGTGCCCACAACCAACGTACATGCCCTGGACCGGAATCGAACCCAGGACCTTTCAGTCCGCAGACCGACGCTCTATCCACTGAGCCAAACCGGTTTTGGCGACAATTGAATTTTGTACTTTAATACCTATATAAATAAGTGAAAATCAATAGAAAATAAAGTATAAATGAGAACTTTCATTGATCTCATTGTGAAAATGACTAAGGATTATTTTGTTTTTAAAAGTTTTATTAACAGATTTGAGGGAGAGATATTTTCTAAATATGGACAATTTACAAAGAAATTAAAAACTTGTAAGAAGTGCCGAGACTGGTTTGGCTCAATGGATAGAGTGTCGGCTTGGGGACTGAAGGGTCTCAGGTTCGATTCCGGTCAAGGGCATGTACCTTGGTTGCAGGCATATCCCCAGCAGGGGGTGTGCAAGAGGCAGCTGATCGACGACTCTCTCATCAATGTTTCTAACTATCTCTCTCCCTTCCTCTCTGTACAAAATCAATAAAATATATATTAAAAAAAAAAACTTGTAAGAAGTTTTTTAAACACCCTCATTCATCTGGAAGCCTTGATTAGACTTACATCAGAATAAAAATCTTTTTATAAGAGAAACCTACATCCTTGAGAACTGCTCCTTAATTATAATGTATTGCAATCACTAAAATAATTTTAAAATAGAATTAGTATATACAATTACTAATTTGTTTATTGTTATTAATAGTATCTACTAGATCATTTTTCCAGGAAAAACAACCAGTAATTTCATTCATTAGGTTTGAAGTAACATTTCTATTGACATCTCCAGTCATTTGTTGGAGCTAAAATTTTCTACACCTATTAGATATTAATGATTGTCAATAAATAATAATTTTACATTCAAATTTTACAATCTCAATTTATAGGTGAGATCTGAAGCTAGGTTAGTATTCTCAAAAACTAGTAACGGTAGCCCAGTTGGCATAGCTCAGTGGTTGAATGTCAACCTAGGAACCAGGAGGTTATAGTTTGATTCCCAGTCAAGGGCACATGCCCAGGTTACAGGTTCAATCCCCAGGGTGGGGTGTGCAGGAAGCAACCACTCAATGATTCTCTCTCATCAGTGATGTTTCTCTCTCTCGCTCTCTCCCTCTCCCTTCCTTTCTGAAATCAATAAAATATTTAAAAAATTTAAAAAAACAAACAAAAACTAGTAAGTGTAATCAAACATCAGATCTCTGAAATTCACAGTGGTTATTCTTCACAACAGAATTATCCAAGGAAACTCAAAATTCGCTTTTATTTTTAGTCTTTACTCTGAATACTAGTACATATATATCAATCACCAAATTTTTACTAGATACTGTTATTGGTTTTAAGACAAAGTTTTTGATTATAGTGTGAAATGTAACTATTTCATAGCTTCAGTAAGCCCTGTGCCTATCTATGAACTGTCAGTCTATAAAAACATTAACATGGGAAAATAGAGATGAAAGTAATATAGCTGAAGATAGCATCCTATAGATTTCCAGGTGTGTAGTTTTCCTGGCTGGGTAGGTTAATATAGCCTTTCATATTTCCAAAGCTGAAAAAGTCTAGATGAGTTTCTGCTAGAAATTTAAGACATGTAAGTCACAAAACTGAAAATATCATTCATAAGCAGTAAAGATTTCAGCTTAAACCAAATTATTTTCACTACTGGTAGAAAGCCATATCTCAGAAATGAAAAACTGTCTAAACTGTTTCACCTTATTTTATTCAATCAATCAATAAATATTTATTAAGGACCTATTATATGCCATTTAGGAATACTCAAAAGCATTATTTTTTAAATAATTTGCCACATAAAAGAATGGTAATTACTGAACTTTTCTTAAATTTTTTCATGTAGTGGTAGGTTTATTTTAATTTATAAAAATTAATAAAAAAAAAGTGTTTTTTAAGCAAATGGAAAAGCCTTTCTGTACAATATAAGGATCATACAATAAAAGTGTAATTTGCATTCATTGCACTATTTATTTTGTTATTGATTTTTATATCTACTCATTGCATTACTAATTTAAAAATTTTATGTCTTGGCACTTTAGAGGAACTTTTAGGGCCAGAATCACTAACCTTAATTTGCAACCTAATTGGAATTTTCAAAATAAGCCAGATTTCTTCTTATGGGTCCTAGTACACACAGGCAAATACATAATTCTTTTGAGTTAACACCTTATTTCAGAATGTCTTATGTACTCAAGATACCTAGCTGGTAAATTGCTTTTCCTCATCAGCATCCCTACTAATGTGGGATTACCACCAAGTTATCTTATGTTCTTTTCTTTTTCTCTTAATAGTTAGGTCTATTTTGTATTAAATTGCTTTGTTAGAGTTTCACAATTCAATCAGTTCTTGTCAGGTTATCTCTATCATAATAAGGGCATACAGTTTTCATAATACATGAAAACTGTATGCCCTTAACCCCCTTTCCTTTTTAGAATACTTTGGAAAAATTACTCAGTTCCATTTTTTTGTGTATGAACTAAATAAAGAGCTTAGTCTTCATCTTGTATCTTTTATTAGTTACTTACTTATGTATCAAAACATTGGGCTAGACCTCCGAAATGAATAATAAGCATAAGAGCAATGGCTAGAAATATTTCTGTAGCAAGGAAAAGAATAATCACTAATTTTAACATGAGCTTAGATCTCATAAACAGTGCAATCAATCTTGAAAGCTCTTAAAGCTAGAAATCCAATTTATAAGCATTCTTCCAAATATCCATCCTCCTCTTAGTAAATTTGCTTTTCTTCAAGAATAGTTAGGATAAAGATAATGTCTCATTCAACATAATTGTTTTTATATTTAGTTTCATCACTAAAACTGATCTTCTAGAATTTTTCAGGATGGCAATGGTTTTGCTACCACGTGACTAAAATATATTCTTAGGCTACAATAAAAGCCAACAATAATTTGTTAAATTGTTTCTCAGGGAAGATGGGTCTCAAATTCCCAACAACTGACTCACAAATAAACTTCTCAAATACAAAATATTTGTAAACTGGGAATGACTTATTCTTTATTTCTATATAAGCTTAAGAAAAGGTGCCACCACTAACATAATAACAATGAATTGCTGCTTTAAAATAAAATAATTTTGAAGATTGTGAAGCTGTGTGCCAGTCTTCCATCAGTCCAAGAAGGACCGAGTGTGGGAAATTCTATGAAGAAGTAAAAGTTGGTTTGTGATATTATCTCTATTATATTTACTTTTGACTTTAAGATACTAGTCCAGAAAAGGTTTCCACAGACCAGCTGAGTTTCTTATACATAGATCAACAAGCTAAAGAAAAAGAAATTCCACAAAACAAAACCTGTTCTACTGGCTTCCATATACATACAGGAAATATTAGAGAAAGGATATTATGTCTAGGGTACAAATCCTTTTAATACGTGTACTGACACTCTGCTGAAGTTTTCATTTAGGCTAAGTTGTTCTGTTTATAGAACTCACTTGACTCAGTAAGGACATTTTTTTGAGGCTGGCAAAGTGCAGATTAGAAACTTGCTTAAAATGGTGCATCTTTATACAATGACTCAGTTTAGCAGCTAACAATATATACTTCCTTCCTCCAGCAGAAGAATGATTACATGCCTTCCCTTGATGCCCTTAAAATGAAATATGTAAAATTAGCATACACTCTGCTATGCTAAGTTTATATCAGAGTGAATACATATTTTAAGAGTTTCTTTTCCTTTTTCTGCTCTATTGCTTATTTACATATACGTGCATCTGGTTATTCTAGTTCTCCAGTGGACCATTATGTGAGAGCTCGGTATCAGGTATAAGAATAATACAACTGCATTATTCCTTAATTTAAAATCCATGTGCATCCATTTTGTATCAAATGGTAAATTTAACATGTAAATTGTCTAATTTTATTTTTATTACAGAACTTTCAAGAAGTCATGTGCCACTTGAATCATGAGAATTTTGTAATTTAATATATGAAAATACCAAATATCACAATGATAATTTTAAATTTACTGACACTAGGCAGAAAAGTATAACTTAAGAATTTTCATGAAGTTGAAAGAGTAAGGTGAAAAATGATATACTGCCATTATTTTATTTTTGGAAACTTTGTAAATAAAAACCTGTTTCCAAAATAAGATATTTAACAGACAGAGAATAGTTGGTAATGGTTCAAGTGTCTTAGGCAACAGAGGAGTATTGTTTTGTAGTCTTTGTTTTTTTAAACCTCTCCTAGTAACAGCAGTTTATCATTACAAAGAAACAAGGTAACAACATGATTTAAAATGAATATATAAGCTATAACTGTAAAACTTTAACTGAAACTGAAGTTTACCATATCAATTGCATTTCTATGAACTGGTATAGATAACCTGGTTGATACTCACCAAATGTTATAGAAATTCCCGGCTCGTCTAAGCAACAAAAAGTAGACACATAGTGAGGTGCTGAAGACAGCTCTCTCTTGGGCTAAAAGGTCTTTAGAAGAAGTAGCCTTTATCTTCCATTCAACGGAGGGTGATTCCTATTACCAAAGCGTGGCAGAGAAAAGAGTTTCCACAATCCAGTCTTGACTTTCTGCCTCTGTCTTTGAAGAGTAACAGTTACCACCGGAAAACATTAGCAGAAAACGATCACTTGAACATTCACACAAGGCAGCTGTAAATTTCCACTCTCTCTGCTTGCTCTCAGATTCCAAGCATTGCTTTTAATCTGTCACAGGCAGTTCTGTTTCTGGTCAAACCAGCTTGCTTATGTGTTCTTTTCTCACTCTCTAACACCCTTTTTAGAAACATAACCACACAGTCATACCTCCCCACTTTTCTTCCTCTGAACAAATCTTGCAACGTCACAAGAATGTGTATAAGACAATTAAGCTGGGGCAACCTTAATTCTTTGCCAAAAAAAGAGCCTAAAGATAAACAAAACCTTTTTCTCATTACATTTTCCCCCTTTAAGTCCTATATTTATTCATGCATGAGGTTTTGTCAACGGATTAAACTGGTCTGACCATCTTGTTTAAAAATGTAAATAAAGATTTCTAATAAATGTTGAAAGTGATAATAACAGATTCATCTGCCAATATGCTAGTTCCTTAGGGAACAAGTTATTCCCAATCATAATAAAAAAGTATAGCAAGTAGGTATTCAAATATTTTATCTTAAAATTAAAATACTTTAAAAATTTTAAATATATTTTTATTAATCCTTTACAGAGAGGAAGGGAGAGGGATAGAGAGTTAGAAACATTGATGAGAGAGAAGCATTGATCAGCTGCCTCCTGCACACCCCCTATTGGAGATGTGCCCACACCAAGGTACATGCCCTTGACTGGAATCAAACCTGGGACCCTTCAGTCCCCAGGCTGACGCTCTATCCAGTGAGCCAAACCAGCTAGGGCTAAAGTACTAAAATTTTTAATTTTGAGATTTAAAAACTAAGGAGATTTTAGAATTAGAGTATTCATAATTTAATTTTAAGAGTAATTTTGTGAAAACTTAAGGTATTTTTAAATAGGAGATATATATATATATATATATATATATATTATAGGGTATATTTTGAAATTTAGAATCAACACCTGCAATTATAAAGAATATAAAAAATAATGACACTAAAGATAATAAATAGAACAGCTTAACCCTGGCCAGTGTTGCTCAGTTGTGCATCAACTTTGTAAATAAAAAGTAGCTCAGTTAGTTGGAGTGTCATCCCAAACACTGAAAGATTGTGGGTTTGGCCCTAACTGTTTGGCTCAGTGGATAGAGTGTCAGCCTGTGGACTGAAAGGTCCCAGGTTCGATTCTGGTCAAGGGTATATACCTTGATTGTGGGCACATCCCCAGTGGGGGGTGTGAAAGGGCAGCTGATTGATGTTTCTCTCTCATCAATGTTTCTAACTCTATCCCTCTCCCTTCCTCTCTGTAAAAAGAAAATCAATGATACTGATATATATATATATATATATATATATATATAGATAGATAGATAGATAGATAGATAGATATAAATATATATATTTATATCTATCTATCTATCTATCTATCTATCTATCTATCTATCTATCTATATTTAAAAACTAGAGGCCCAGCCGAAGCCGGTTTGGCTCAGTGGTAGAGCGTCGGTCTGCGGACTGAAAGGTCCCAGGTTCGATTCCGGTCAAGGGCATGTACATTGGTTGCGGGCACATCCCCGGTAGGGGGTGTGCAAGAGGCAACTAGTCGATGTTTCTCTCTCATCGACGTTTCTAGCTCTCTATCTCTCTCCCTTCCTCTCCGTAAAAAATCAGTAAAATATAAAATTAAAAAAAAAAAATAAAAAAAAATAAATAAATAAAAACTAGAGGCCCAGTGCACAACATTCATGCACAGTGTGTGTGTGGGGGGGTGGTGTCCCTCAACCCAGCCTGCACCCTCTCCAATCTGAGACCCCTCGAGGGATGTCCAATTGCCCTCTCACAATCCAGGACTGCTGGCTCCTAACTACTCACCTGCCTGCCTTCCTGATTGCCCCTGCTTCTGCCCTGCCTGATCACTCCCCTAACCACTCCCATGCCAGCCTGATTGATGTCTAACTGCTCCCCTGCCAGCCTGTTTGCCCCCAACTTCCCTCCTCTGCTAGCCTGGTAACCCCTAACTGCCCTCCCCTGCAGGCTTGATCACCCCCAACTGCCCTCCCTTGCAGGCCTGATCCCTCCTTACTGCCCTTCCCTGCTTGCCTGATCATCCCCAATTGCCTTCCCTCCCAGGCCTGGTCCCTCCCAACTGCCTTCCCCTGCTGGCCATCTTGTGTCCACATGGGGGCAGGATCTTTGACCATATGGGAGCAGCCATCTTGTGTGTTGGAGTGATGGTCAATCTGCATATTACTTTTTTATTAGATAGATAGAGGACTGGTGCATGGGTGGGGGCCAGCTGGTTTGCCCTGAAGGGTGTCCCAGATCAGGGTGGAGATTCCCTTGAGATTTCTATTTTGATTTATGTATTTTCTATCATTGAAACTTTGTAGCCTGGAGTGGAGGCCTAGGCTGGCCAGGGCAGGTGGAAAGCTTGGCTTCCTCCATTGCCGGGGGCAACCCTAGCCTGCTCTCTCCAGCTCCATGGCTATCGCTATTCTTGTTTGGATTTGTTTATCTTCTATAATTAAAACTTTGTAGCCTTGACTGGAGGCCTAGACCTGCAAGGGCAGGCAGAAAGCTTAGCTTCTTCCATTGCCTGGGAAACCAAGCCTCCCTCCTGCTCTCCATGGCCACAGCCATCTTGGTTGGGGTAAGTTTGCATACTTGGCTGGTGGGCATGGTTGATTGGTGTAGCAGAGGTATGGTCAATTTGCATATCACTCTTTTATTAGATAAGATTGTAGGTTTGATGCAGAGTCAGGGAACATACATAGGCAGTAGGCTCGATCCCTAGTTGGGGTATGTATGGGATGGCAACCAATCAATGTTTCTCACACCAATGTTTCTCTCTCTCTCCCCTCCTTTTTCCCTTTCTCTCTCTTCCCCTCCTTTCTTTCTCCCTTTCTCTTTCTTTCCCTCCCCTCTTCTCTAAAATCAATAAGGATTTCCATGGTGAGGATTAAAATAAATAAATAAATCTGCTTATACCTTTCATGTGCAAACCTAATGTAATTATTTTGTTTAGAAAGTCTCCTCCCACCCACCAGCCATCACACACACATAAGCATTATTGGTCAGGATGTACAATACCTCTTCAATGAAAAACTAAAAAGCTAAAGGCTAATAAATTTTTTTTCATTATTATACACATATAATTACAGAGTAAAATATCTTAAAATTATCGATCTCTTTGTAAGGTTCAGGAATGAGAGTAATTAGGAAGAAAGCTGAGTGAGATAATTGGTGACAGGATTAGGTACCATTTGTAGGAGTCTTTGGAATTAGGAGAGACAATGTACTCAATTTTGAATATGTGGTGGATTTGTGGGAATGATAGTTAGAGCCTGTTTTAGAGTATTCTGTTCTAACTCCTTAGCTCTAAAGATTTTTGGGCTCTCTGTCTCCTACTCTTTGTTATCAATCAAAATTCTTGGGTTCTTCTGATGACCAGTGTCCCAATTTCAGACATAATAAAATTAGTTATTAGCCCTATTTTTATTTTAATACTACTCTCTGAAGAACTGAAATATGTCTAAGAATATGAGCTTAAAGTAAAAAGTAATTATCTTTATTTTTTAATTTTTAAAAAATATTTTCTCATTAATTTCAGAGAGGGATAAGAGAGAATCATTGCCTGGCTACCTCCTGCATGTCCCCAACTGGGAATCAAGCTTGCTACCCTTCAGTCCACAGGCCAACGCTCTATCCACTAAGCCAAACCCACTAGGGCAAGGTAAATATCTTTAAGCAATTGTTTACAATCCTTAAGAAAACAAGAAAATAAAGCTTGGATTACTGCTTAATCTATATATCATACATTGAATAGATATTTCCTAATATACACATTTTTATTTAAATGCATATAAATGGTATAAGCAGATTTATTTATTTATATATACATGTTTCCTAATCTAGTTCACTTAGACTTTTAAAATTTAAATATATTATAAGGTAATTCACATCTTTAACACATAGAAAGGGTCATCAAAGAAGACTAGAGATTAGTCTGCTGATTATTCCTTCAATTGGTAGTTTTGTAAAATTTAGAGGGTGTTTTTTTCCATTTAAAATATTTTTATTGATTTTTATAGAGAGAGAGGATGATAGGAGAGAGAGAAACATTAATATGAGAGTGAAACATTGACTGACTGCCTCCTGAATGCCCCTACCAGGGATCAGGCCCACAACCTGGGTCTGTGCCCTAACAGGGAATCAAAATGGTAACCTTTCCATGCAAGGACCATGCCCAGCCAACTGAGCACACTGCCCAAGGCTAGAATTTTCTTTCCTATTTTTAAAACAATATATATTTTATTTTTTTTTTTACAGAGAGGAAGGGAGAGGGATAGAGAGTTAGAAACATCGATGAGAAAAAAACATCAATCAGCTACCTCCTACACACCCCCTACTGGGGATGTGTCCATAACCAAGGTACATGCCCTTGACTGGAATCAAACCTGGGACCCTTGAGTCCGCAGTCCGACGCTTTATCCACTGAGCCAAACCAGTTAGCTATTTTCTATTTTTAAAGAAATGGAGATTATCCCAAATCACTAAAAGGTATTAAGTGCCTAATATCTTGCTGAGTCTAAAATTAAACTGAAAAAGTTCTGAAATAACTAAAGAAATTCAGAATTTATAATGGGGGTGTAGATATTTAGAATCAAGGTTAATTTTCATAAATCACTTTCAAATTGGGAGATGTTATATCCTAAGCCACAAAATAAAGACATGGTATTCAAAATTTATAATAAGAGTGAGTATCTATGGGTGTATATAGTTTATATTTGATAACTGCTTTAAAAAACACCATTTTTAAGATGCATACAAAGGAATCACAAAAAGTGACCTTATAATAGACAACAAAGAAATCAATAAATTATCAAAGGAGACACAGTACAAGCTTCATACTCTGGTCACAAGATGATAAAATCCCTTAAAATCTCTTTAAGAGATAAGTAAAGGTTCTTTT